AAAGTGTACAGCAACGGCGGGATTATTTTAGCCGCGAGCATTTGATGTCTTGCTTGGATGCACCCTCCGGAAGCTGTTGCAGCTTTGACATCAGGATGCTCCCGTGCCTGGATGAGCTTGCCCGCGATCTAGGCCGGCCCGAGCCGAGCAAGCAGAAGCAGAGCTCAAAGGGCTCGGAGACCAACAAGTCAGCCGGGTCGAAGCAGACCTGGTGCAAGTGGCACGGACAATGGTGGTATTGGGCTGGGGGCTGGAACAAGTGGGTCCCCAAGTAGCGGGGTCAGCGTTCCAAGCCATCTGTGTTGCAACAAGCAACGCGTGTCACTGCCGTTGGAACTGAATGTCTTGTTACGCATTGCCCGCGTTCTGACAAAAAATGGCGTGCAGGTCTCCGTGGACAGTAGAGAGCAAACTCCATGCTAGGTGGGACCGCAGTCATCCCTTTTCCGTCATCGACGATAGCGATAGGCTTTTTGGGGTTGATCTGTCCTTTGAGCCGTTTGTGCCAACCGTGAACTCGAACTTAAACCCCCCATAACCCTCTTCACTTTTTAACCCTATGGTGCTCTTGCAGTGTACATAATACTTCCTCAAACTGTACGCCAATCTGGGTACACGCGCGTGTGCGATCTCGAATATCTGCTGCAACCTATAGGACCCCTTCAACCGCAACCCCCGTAGACCTCAAGTTAAGCCTCGACGAACTAGCTAGAGCACCCCTCGAGGACTTACTTTTCGGAAAGGGCCCCAACCCCAACAGTATTTCATCATGAAGCTCTACATCTCCTTTGTGAAGGGTCCCTACAAAAAATAGATTTCTATGATTCTGTGCTTGTTCTTATCTTTGATGGACAGGCCACGCAAGTATGTGATGCTGAAGGCCCCAACAACCCTCCCGCATTTTGTTGGGGTTCCGAGGCCTTCGCGGCTCTCGGCGGAGATCGTCGCGCCGACCACGGAAGCCGCGGCTGAGAGGCCAGAAGTTTTCAGAGGGTTTTGGGTTTGGGATTTCAGGTTTAGGGTGTTTTGGGTTGGGGACAGTTGGGGGTCGCAAGGCTGTTAATTGATGAAGGCTTATAATAGAGTCCAGCTTGCAAAAGGCGACTCCGTCAGGTTCTGTAAAGGGGATCGTTGAACACTGTCGGGCTCTCATGGATTGAATGCTCTGGTATGATCTTGCGAAGGGCTACGGCCAGAACAACGCTCTTTCGGTTTGGAAAGCTTGTCTAGATGCTAGTACCTAGCGAAACTCTTAACCCTAAACCCCTAAACCCTACAGATCCCGGGTCAGTTACCAGAGTGTTTTACTCAGGGCTTCTTTCTGCCAGCTTAAACTTGGGAGGAGGGCTCAGGGTGATGACGATGGCCTTTTCTGTGGATCTAGCGCCTCGGGCGTAGACTTCTGATTTGCTTTCCGGCCGTTCTGTGCAAGAAGTCGGAGGCGTCTTGGTTTAAAAGGATTGGGATATAGAAGTTTGCGTCGGAAGAACACGGATCGTGATCAAAGCTGTCGTTGTCACAGTCGCAGTAGTCGTCGTCACAGTAGTAGCAGCAGGTGTAGCAGTACAGTAGTAGCGGTTAGCGGTAGTAGTACCAGTACAGTACGTTTTGCCGGGAATTTAGAACAAATACTTGATGGAACCATCTTGGCAATCTTGGTCCGGGGGGGAGCAAGATTGCCAAGCATGGTCATCTTGCCTGCCCCACTTGCTCGCCGACTGGTTTACCTTTTGGAGACCAAGATTGCAAGATTGCTTGGCAACCTTGTTCAAACAATTGTTCTAAATTACCGGGACACTGTACTAGTAGTACTAGTGGTGGTGATGGTGGTGGTTGCAGTAGTTGTAGCGGTGACTATGAAATGTAGCAGAAGGCAAATTAAGTGCGGAAAGCGTTCAATAGATCCTCTTTGCCACCGGCTTCCTGCAATCCTTTGGCCACGAGGCGTGTGTCCTACATGGAATCTGTGGGAGTCCTCCCCTACACAGCACTGGCCGTGGTGGTGCTCTCAGTTGGATCTGGATGCCTCAACCTGGGGCTCCGTAAAGTTAGAGGCTTGTTTACTGGTGATCAACAAGATTCGGGTTCAGTGCGTACGGCTCGATTCAAGGCTCCATGATTTTCAGAGACTCCCCTTTAGCAGAGAGGCTGGATGTTCGGGTCCCTTTTTAGAGGTCCTGGCCACAGTCCAGCCACCCCGGACATTATTTCGCTCCCTCATGGCTGTTCGGATAGCCTCATTTGGTGCGGATGGCGATTCAAATTGAACTCGGCAAGCCGAAGCGAGACAGGCTCGCGCACCAAATACGAGCGCTCTCTCTCCAAATGATGGGTCAGCTCGTAAAGACCTCGAAGCTTGCATACCTTGGCACCATTCACAGCTCCCCGAAGCAACGATAGTGCACAGCACGCCTTGGGCCAGCTCCCCTGCACCCGTTCAGAATGCTGACCTCCCGCAATAAGAGGGTAGGGCAATTCCGCTTCGAGCTGTTAGTCCACCTGCACCCTATGTATCCTTGGTTACCTGGGCCGTGAACGCAGTTTTCGATGCTTGATTTCAGAGTTGTATCCTGGACATCACACCAAACCGCGGCACAACACAGCAGTGTGCTTTCTGACGTGAAATACTTATTCAAGATGCACCGGCCGGACAACGCTGACTAAAACGGACACTGCTTCAAAGCATCGCTCACAGAACCGCCAGAAGGGGTGACCAGACAAGCCGTGCCGAGGTGGGTGGCGTTCTTGCCCGAGACGGTGACGAGCGGCCGTTTGCTGGGGATGCTGCGATGCTCAGAGACATCTGCGATGATTGAGGGGCATTACCCATAATAAGGAATATCCCATAATTCCCATAGTTTAGGGCCCTTAAGGTTCAAGACTTAGGGTTATAAATCTTGTATTTCTCTGATGTCTTTGCGACATCATCCTCCAGCACCAGATGTGTCCGGGTGCTGTTCTTTGCGCTGGCTGCAGTTGCTGCATCAGTGTGCTGCAGCTCGAGGCATAGTTCTTCTGCACAGCTTGCCACAAAGACATCGGGATTGGAATGAGATCTATGAGATTTTGAGACACTGTTCAACAGCATGCTCCCACAAGTGTTTTGCCAGCAGTCTCCTGCCGTGGCGTCTGAGGTCTCGAACAGCATCTACTTTCGCTTCAAGCTGGGCTCAACGCTGCTGTCAGGCTTTGAATCCATCACCGGTTGGAACTTGTTCAGTCCTGGCGTTTCCTGGCGTTGCATCATTCTCCTGGTCCTGTCGTACTCTTCCTTGGCCTCCTCGGCAGTCGCAAGTCTTCATCATCCTCATCGTCGCTCCATCACCATGCTTCGTCTCATCAGAACCAGCGTCAGTATCGTCATCCCATGTCATGCCCATTGACTGGTACCGTCTGCGTGCCCATCATGACACCTCGAAACTCGAGGAGCCTCACACCTCGGTCAAAACTTGTAACACAGCGTCGGTGCCTCACCATGCCCGGCTCAAGCCAGGCTAAGCTGCATCAGTCAAAACACCAAGATGAGCCTCAAAGCCAGCAGATTGCAATTCCTGGAGCTTTCCTGCCCCGCAACCAAGCATGACGAAACATGGACCTATCAATGAGCAAGACAACCACCACACCAGAACCACGATGCCATTCACACGAATTCACTGTGTACAGTACTCGTCTGCCAGGAAGCCTCCTAGCTGCTTTGACGGTCCAGCTGCCTGGCCCTCGTTCTATGGAAAAGGTTGAAGCATCAGCTTGTGTCGGAAGAGGCCCTTCAATGTCTACCGGGTACCGTACATCTTTCCGTTTCGGGCTTGGAGCTGCAGCTTAAATTGCTGAGGCTGCATTCTGTTGTCGGTTGTGGTCATGTTTATGATTGCGTTTGGATTTTGCAAGTATACACTACGTACGTATTGAGGCGCCTGCTATCATTGTATTGCAGCGAATTTAGCAAAGTGAAGTTTTCCCACAGGCATGCTTTGGCTGTGTAGGTTCCTTGTCGTGCCAAGGCCAGCAGGCTACATTGTCAGAAGTGCCAATGTCGTTGGGGCCCCAGTCGATCGTCGAGTGCAAGTTGAAGCAGGAACTTGCGCGGCAGACGCTCGACAATCCTTCAAGATTCATCTAGTAGAGAACGGACCCATTACGACGGCCATGATGATGATGATGATGACGATGATGTTAATCTCACCTGATGCAACTTCACAGCAGGCAGAACCGTAGTTTGCTGCTGAAACGACGGCGGGTAAATCAACGCGCCGGAACTTAAAGATTCATCGTGTCACCTTCCACAGTATGCATAAAGACCAGCATGCTGCCTTCAGAATTACTGATTCCTGCAATCTTCGATAGACAGCTCCAACCGCTGATGCTGACATATCTCCTCGAGGCGCCCAGCGACTTGCTGACGCTCTCCTCACGCCGTCTGTCGGGGCCCGGATCTGAGAACCGTTTCGAAAGCTCAAGCTGCTATTTGGCAAGGCGGCAAAATGGGAAGACTCACGGAGAACATTTTCCCCGAAGAAGCAAGTCCGAGAACAACCCCAATCAAAGCAGCTGCACCTTTCGGCCTCTAGAACCTGAAGCACTAGGCCACTACGCTCTGCAAAGGTACGGAAAGGGGTATCAGCGATGCTCGTATTCATATCATGTTCCCATTTTCATCTTACATATCAAAGTTGTTTTACTGCTTTCCGACGAGTATTGCAAAACATAGTATATGACCCAAAGCCTCAAACCTTAAACCCCTAAACCCTAAACTACACCAGTGCCACTGAAGTGTCACGGAAAGCGGGGAACAGGCCGCAGAGCCGCGGGCAGCTGACGGCCGGGACTTGGAGCTGTGCTACCAGGCCTGGGTGCAACGTATAATGTAGTATAGCATACTGTATGATGTTATAAAATTATAAAACGGTACACTGTATGATGTTATATTTTTTAGTGTATGATGTAGGAGAATAGCGAACGATGTGGTAAAATAGTGCATAAACCTGTATAACATAGCATACTATTGTATAGTATAGCTCCTGGCTTCTGTACCTTGCCAAGGAACGCTGAGACTTGCTCCCTGTATTTGTCTCTGCGTGCATTTGTTTGTCTTTTCGTCGGTGTGTATTGCCCTCACTCGAGCCCTCGCCCACTCGCGGGACACTTTTTTCGTTCTCGCTCTCTATCTCTCTCTGTGTCTCTTTTGCCATCGCCATCTCCCTCTCCCTCTCCCTTGGGCTCCCTCGCTCTCTCTCTCGCTGTCTCTGTCTCTCTTTGTTTGGTCAATGTCTCTCTGTTACTCCAGGTGTGTAAACATACAATCGGATACACAGATCATCACATTTGTCGCGACACGGTGGTGTCATATCTCATGTTTGTAGATGCGGTCCTAGCTCACGAGTTTCGGCGAAGACACACCCGCAAGAGTAACAGATTTGATAAAGCCACTCCGTCACTTGATTCTATCCTTCAGGCAGATCGCCGATTGACAAGCATGTGTTGTCGGGAAGTCTAACACGGGGACCTTTGCATTTACTGTCAATAGTTTTCGCAGACGCTTGTCGCGACGTGATCCGTGAGTGACGCGAGGACGTGTACCTTCACCATGGATAGCCATGCCGCTATCTACAGTGGCTACCTGGTGGTGCCTTGCTCAGGTATGCTGTAACGGATAGGTTTTTGCTGCAGACGTTCAGGCTGAACACAGCTCAGAACATCAGCTATACTACTAAGACCGCTTATGTTGGCGTATGATATTATGTAAAAATGCATGACTCACAGACGCGCACATGCATCAAGCTACACATGCATACTTCTTCGGGTATGTATCACGTTGTCTTCGACATCCTTGAGCTCTTAGGTGCACTTTGTGGTGGACAACCCGAGCATCCCCCTGAGGCTTCAGGACACAGCGAACCGAATCCCCGGCATCCTTGCGACCTTGCTAGGGTTGGGGCTTGTGGTCGTCTGAAAATTACCGGGTTTTGGATTTTAGATGATTTTAGGACGTCCTCTGATTCGTATTTGCGGTTCAGGGCTTCTTGGGTTTAAGACGCTTTGGGGATTTAGATTTAGAATTTAGATTCAGGCCCAACGACCGTCAACGACCGAGGGGAAAGGGAGACTCTGAGATGTTTGCTTGTGGTCCCTATGGGCATTTCGATGCAGCATTGGGACTGTTTGTCTATGTAGTCGTAACATGCATGATGAAACTTGATGAAACTTGATGAAGCTTGTTAGCCGTAATCCCAAACTTAACCCTCGAAGAACTTTTGAACGAGCCAGGTTGGAGCGTAGCCGTCAGCGGCCAGGGAGATGCTGCGACGCTGGCGGTGCTGCCAGCAACGATGTGAGGGACTCAGGATCAGCGTATAGCTTTGAAGGGTCTTTGTTCAAGTCCAAACCGATAGTAACCTTGGGGATCTTTCCCATCTCTGCAAGGTTTTCCTCGTGAGTTCTCTGGAAGCTTTCCCCCAGCCCGAGGCTTCCCAGACCCTCTGATCGCCGGAATCTTGGGACGAAGCCACACTCCCAGGGCCCTAAAGGCCTAAACCCCTAAACCCCTAAAGAAAATCCCAGGGCCCTAAAGGCCTAAACCCCTCAACCCCTAAAGCCCTACACCCCAAAAATCCTCCAGCCCCAAACAGGAAATTCCTCAGCCCCCGGGGGTTCGGGAGATCCGGGCGCTTCGTTGCTCCGCAAAGGCTGGATCCAGGATCGATCCCTTCGGAGCAGGTCTGGCGGCGGCGTTAAGGGTCTTTAACTTTAAGTCTTTCAGGGTTTCTTCAAAAGGCTTCTTTTGGTTTCAAGGCCCTTGAGACTTCGAAGAGGGTTTGGTGGCAGGATTTTAGATTTTAGAGCTTTGGGGATTCAGGGCGAAGAATTTCGAGTCGCAGAGCTTCGGGTTTTGGGGCGTCGATTCTCCTTGACCTGTTCTGGTTTTCTTGGTTGTCTTAGTCTTCTGCTGCCTCTCCGACTCGTGGCCTTAACTTTAGGCCATTGTAGGTTAGACAGTATATAGTATAGAGTAGGGTTTAGGGTTTAGGGTGATTATACACGATCGTAAGCCCTAAACTAAACCCTAAGCCGTCTGGACAGGCTTTGTACACTCCGGCGTCTGCCCGGGGCCCCTGTAGCCCAGTGCGGGAGCGTGTTGCTGGTACCACTACTATTGCTACTATTTGCTATTCTTACTACTATCATTACCAATTTATTATTGCTATTTTCACATATATCACATTTTGTTACTATTGCTACTCTTGTAACTGCTGCTGCTGCTGCTGCTGCTGCTGCTGCTGCTGCTGCTGCAACTACTACTACTACTACTACTACTACTACTACTACGACTACTACTACGACGACGACGACGACGAAGCTTTTTGATCTCTATTGCTATTGCTATGTGCGATGGCAAGAACCACTGGCAGCCATGTCCGCAAACTGCCCTTTTGCCATTGTGGTCTCTTCTAGCTGACAATGTGGGATAATCTTCAATCACCACTGTTGAATTTCCCACCCATGAAGAATATCGGGCCCTTGAACTACATGCTTCGATGTACGTTAACTGAGAGGAGTATTGTCTTGATTGTTGTCCTTTCGGAGGAGTTTGTTAGGGGCGTCTGGTTTCGGTTTGTTGCGGGTTTGGTTACAGAAGTTTAGAGTTTTGCTTTTTCCGATCTGATTTAGGCAGAGAGAACAGTTGACTTGCTTACTTTGCTTGTGCAAGACCTCCCAGGCAGTGCTCGGTCGCCTCTCCGAGATTAGCAGGGAAGCTCGGCACAGGGTTTGACAGTTCTTGCCCCTGCATGTCACGTGTTGCAGGGCAGTCTTGTAGGATCCGCTTGCTTTGAGCCAGTGTCTCTTGATTATTGGCGAGAAATTTGTGGTGGGCCCAAGCACGCCCTAGAAGATCTGAGTAGTGGACGTGAAGCTGATGAAGCCTTGCACTCGGGCGGCTTGCAGCTGCTGTGGAAAGAATGTTGGCCTTTTTGGCCTGACGGGATTTGGCGTGACTCGTCGCCACCATGAGAAGCGCTGCAAAGCCAGACGTGCTGCAGCCGCAGCCATGGTGCAGCCCGCTTTATGCGAGCTGTTGCCGCGGGTCGATTTTCATAAGGATGTTCAAACGATGTCGGCCCAGGAGATGGGCGACATGCTGACCTTGACAGGAGCAGAGCTCAAGGCTCTGCTTCAGCAAGATGAACTCACCAGGCAGGAGGTGATGACGGCTGCATTTGCAGCCTGGCGTCCGGGTGCCTATGGGGGTGCGCCCCTCAA